AAACCACACGTTTTTTCCCACTGTGCACCAGCTCTGTGCAGTTGGCACTTATTTGAGACAGATTTCAAAGCAAATATGTTTGCGGTTCAAAGATAAGCAAGCTTTTAGTAAACTGTCAAAAAGACTTTTTTCTTCTTCTTCACTGCTGGTGGAAAACGCAAAAATGAAAGAGTAAGTAAGAGGGGAAGAGTCTCTCGGAGTTATGCTACGTGTGTAGACCTAGCCTCCTGGAAACTCATCAGTAGATAGATAATCAGGGTTGGGATCCACCCCCGCCACCCTGCGCCGGGCCCAAGTTAGGTTTTGCCATCAAAATAATGAGGGCAAAACATTAAAATAATCACACCTGATCATTAAGACAGTTTTTCAAGCTCCGTGTTTATTATAATTACTAATCTTGTACGTGCTTTACATTAAAAACCTATGTTAATTCAAAACATAAAATAAAAAAGGGAAAATGTCATTGTAACTAGGCCTCTGTTTATATCAATTATAACTCAAAATTGCCCTAATGGAGTTGTCAGGGAATAAAGAACAGAACCCAGAAGCCAGTCCAGGCCATCACAAAGGCGGACAAGCCAGGGCCAGCGACACAGCGTCCACGGGAAGCTCTGCGGCCAGTGAGGCCCGGCAGCCCTGCTTCCCACGAGGATGCGGCCAGGTGGGTGTTCGCACGCGTGCCCTTCAAAGGCTGCATTTTGCCTTTGCCCAAAACAGTTTTCCTTAGGAACTAACAATCTAATGCCATACTGAAGGACCTTGCAGAAGGGCTGTCCATTTCAAGGCCATAAACCCCTGGGGAAAGAGCTAAACCTCTGGAGAGAGAAATAAAAAATAAAATTCTGACAGTAAAAGGAGACATAAGTGACTTGTGGCAACGTTGGATGATTCTGCCCACGGAAAACAGAACGTTCACTCTGCAAGCACGTGAACCGTGCAGCGGCGCATCTCCCAGCTGAGGGAGAAGAACAGGAAGATCCATCACCCCTTTGTCTTTTGGGGAGCAGAGAGGGCTAAGACTAGATAACTCGAAGCCACACAGTTTAGTAAATTTCACGAAAATATATATATTTTTTCCCTAAAGGGATAGACTCCCAGCTCCCTCTGCTCTTCCTGAGCTAACAGTGCCGGGACCTCCTCAGCATTATTTCACGGTGAGCAGATGGCAGTCCGAAATTTTTTGATAAAAACAATCCACTGGCAGGGGTTGCCAAGAGGTCAGCAGAACCCAGATTAACAATTGATCAGCTCTAATGGACCGTCGTGGCAATAAACTCAGAGTCCGTACACAGACCTGCTACTCCAGTAATAGCGATAGGCCTGCCTGCCACCCACGCTGTTAACAGACTTGTGCCCAACAGCACTGACACTTTGCAGCTTCAAAGCCTTCATCAGCCCGCAGGCATTCTTCAATGTGCATCCAGTCTCTCCACGGCCTCCCCGCTACAGGTTCCACGAAGGTGCACATGGCTTACTCTGACCCAGTGAAGATTTCACGGAGGTCTGAGGTCTGGGGAGTGAATGACACTCTGTAATATTGACAAGGTGTTTCAACATCTACTCTTGTGTTCAGACCACAACTGTAGGTTCTGATATTTCTTGTTATTCATACAAAACAGACAACTGGGGAGGAAGAAATGAGTTCCCCATCCTCGTTCCCAAGAGAACAAAAGCTGTAAGACTCCAAAGACTCATTTTCTTGTTCTCTTACGTTTTTTCGAGAGAGATGCCGTGTTCACAGCACCACACTGGACAAGGAATCCCTTGTGCTATACCAGGAATTTATTGTGAAGCTTCAATAATAGGAAATCAGAACACTCTTAGAAAATAACAACAGCTCCAGATGGACAAAAAAGGAGCAGCTCGAGGTTAGTTGAACTAAACCACTGAACAATTTTCCTCTGCTGAAGTACAGAAGTCCCCTAAAGTCATCAAAGCATTCCCTCCCTTCCACCTACCTTTACCAGACAACTGATTTCAGAATAGAATTGATTATGAGCCATAAATGCCAGATTTTCTGAAACAGTGCTGACTTCCAAAAATCTTTTCTTGCCCTTCTGCAAACTCACTGCTTCCAATTGGACCAACGGATGCAAATGTTTAGTGCAGAAAATCCCAAGAACAAAGACATTCTCCCAGGGATAGAAAATGTCCAGCCTGCAGGCCGTATAAGGCCCATGAAATCAATACCAGCTAACATCATATGCCTCACCAAATCAGCCTGACCAAATACAGCAGGCTACTTAAAAAAAAAAAAATTATTTATTGATATTAGAAAGAGAGAAGGGAAAGGGAGAAAGAGAGAGAAACATCGATGGGAGAGAACATCGATTGGCCGCCTCCTGCATGCCCTCCACTGGGGATTTGGCCCACAACCTGGGCACCTGCCCTGACTGGGAATCAAACCGGCCACCTCCTGGTGCCACACTGGCCAGGCGAGCAGGCTACTTTTTAAGCTGATCATTTTGTATGGCCCAAAAATGATGTTACAAATATCCAAATGGCTGTTAGCAGAAAAATGTTTCCCCACCCCTGAAGGGTCAAAATCAGGAAATTCAACATTGATACAATAACATTACCTAATGCACAGTCAGTATTCAAATCTATGTTTCTGGTTCAGAATCCAATTTAGGACCTCATGCTGCATTTGGTTGTCATGTGTCTTGAGTGTCCTTTAGTCTGAAATAAGTTCTCAATGTTTGTTTGTCTTTCTTGACCTTGATATTTCTGAACTGTGCAGCCAGCTACTCCCAACTCCTCTGATATTTCATCATGCTTAGATTCAGATTACACATTTTGGATACATTGTGAAAGCATTCTACAAAAGCAATAGTGTATTCAACCTGGTCTTCACATCTGGAGGTTTTGCTGTCACTTCGTCTCATCGTTGATGAGGTTAACTTAGATTACCTGTTCAAGATGGTGTCTGCCAGCTTTTCCTGTAATAGAGTTTCTAGTTCCTCTTTAGTAATCAATAAGGAATTTGTGGGTGGATGCTTTACAACTGCCAATGTCCTGTTCTTCATCAAACTTTTACCTGCTAGTTTTAGCATCGACCGAAGATTCGTGTCTGAATCAATTAATATCCTAGATCTCTAACTCCATCATTTCTTCTGTATTTACTGATTGGCCTTCCACTGTAAGAGCTTTCCTCCTCATTTATGTACATATTTATCTTTTTATCTATCTGTTTATTATCAGAGCGCACTCATGGGTTCTGATTGTATTCAACATTATAATCTAAGTTGATTTTAGTTGAATTTCTGTTATTTAGTACCAGAATATTCCTGAAAAGGTTTCAGGAATTCCTGAGGAGGGGAAGACAACTTCCCTTGGCAATGAGTCAAGAGTTCCTTACAGTCGTCACACTTACAAAGGTGCTTCCTGGGGCTTCCATTAGATCTCTCTGGCCCACCCTAGGAAGTCCAGACCCTCTGAAGAGCAGGCACCCTGGGTCCAGTGTGACCAGTGAATGGCCTCTGGATCTTCGTGTCTACAGGAAGCAAGATGCTTCCAGCTATATTCACCTGAATTCTCTGTTCCCTCTCTTGCAGCTCCGCTGGGAAGGCTGGCTGGCTGCCAACGTTACCAACAGTGCCCAGAATGTCTCCCCCTCTTCCTGCAACTTCCTGTGCTCAGCTCTGTTCCTGGCTCTCTTTGCTTCAGATGTTGGGTATTATGCCTGAAAACGACCCGCCAAGGGTAGGTTAGATATTTTCTGCTTCCCCTCCAGACCTATCCTTCACCTCTCTCCACCCAGTGCAACGCCTGGAGAGGTGAATCAAATCAAGTATGTCAACAGCTGGATTCAGCCAGTAGTGGGGACCAGCAAGAGATCAGAAGTCTAGAGATTGTTATTGGGGTATCACATGGCTGCACCCCTCTATCAAGTTCCCTTTCCATATAGCTACTCTCCATGACTACTGGAAACCACTCTGGCCCCCGGCTCCTTCAGGCCAGGAGTGGGGCTTGCCCTGAGATATAATCCTATCACTTGTTGGTTTCAATAACACATATTTATAAATATTCACCTCATTAAACTTTCCTCAATCACCCCATTTGAGTATTCATTCTTTTATCCGTAAGGCAAAAAAAAAAAAAAGTAGACAGTAATGATGACAAGAGGTACATCCAGGGGACAGAGACGGCCAAAGTCTATCTCAGGTATTGCCATCCTTTCTGGTGCTTGGACATTTATGTTTGTCTTTTCCATATACACACAAACACAGTAAAATTAAATTAACCCTATTTCCTAACTGTGATCACATGCTACTAAAAGAGTTATGTTCTATCAAAGCACACACCTGAGGATTGAGTCACTCCCTCTGTTTTTCTACTATATGGAAAAGCCACAGAACTCAGCTGACAATACAGATAGATTTTCCTCTAGGAGGGACCCAAGGAAACCTCCAGGTACTAGCCAAGTCACTTGTTGCCTGTTACTATGTTTTCTCTGTAAAAGACAACATCAAAAGCCTTTGCAGCCAGACACAGGTGTGCCCTGATTAGCGATGAGATCCGCTACTGGAATTCCATTAAGTGGATGTTCAAATCCCACACCTGTGAATGATTCAATTTTTAAATATAATTAACAGTCGATTCAACATGAGATCTATCACAGCGTTGCTTTCAATCACTTAAAATGTAGCCAAGGAAGTGTCCACATTTTGCTACTTATCTTACCAATTTACCATTAAGAGCTCTGGTGATTATTGTCATTGACTGGTTAACTTCCCCAGAATTGGTGAGGAATTCATCATAATCTGGTTACATGCATGAGCGTGTGTAATCACCCACTGCAACCATCGTGGTGGAAAATGGTTGAGGGTGGCTATCCCGCCTCATCAAAAAAAAAAAATAGGCACATTTATTCCAACTCAGTATGATCCTCTCAAAGCCTTTCTTTCCGAACCACCGAAACCTGTATTCCAGGGACACCTAATGTTTCTCCTTTGGCAGCAAACACAGAAGACAATTGAACCCGAACTGTAATCACTCACCTGCAAGTCTGCATCAAATTCATGTTTCAGGTGCGCTTCTTCTGCAGCCTCGACAAGACGCTGAAAAGACAGAAAGCAACAGGAAGGGTTACAAGGGTGGCCCAGACCCCGTAGCAACAACGTGAGAAGACAAAGTCTCCTCCATTGCCCGCAGACGATAGATTATTCATGGCATGCTCACTATGACTGGTGTCTTTGCTCCCATGAAACTGAAAATACCAGTGTCAAAATCCAGTTTTTGCCTTCATTATTCATCCATAATCCTTCCAACAAATATTTATTGTTATGTGTGTACAAAGGCATGCAGGTTCTGCATCCATTTTTGTAACAAAGACACTGAGGCCCAATATGAGGCCCGTGAGGCCCAATATGGACTCCAAACTACCTAAAAAAGTGCGTTCCTTAGGTAGAGAAGACCCTTAGTCAAGATTTATTGAGCTGAATTGAGTTCAACTCTAAGTGGACTAACTCCCCCAATGGTTTCGTAAATACTGCTTTTTTGTTTTTCTTTATTGATTTTAGAGAGAGAAAGATAGAAACATTGATGAGAGAGAACACTGACTGACGGCCTCCTGCATGCCCTGCTCTGGGGATCGGGCCCACAACCTGGGCACATGCCTTGACCAGGAATCAAACTGGTGACCTCTTGGTGCATGGGTCAACACTCAATCACTGAGCCACACCAGCCAGGCAATACTACCTATTTTAACTGCCTGCCTCATTCAAGGTCAATTCCTTCTGCACCCAGTTCTAGTATGTGATTAACAGATGACAGTTATTTGAATTTTATGGTACATCAATGTCATTTTGACAATCAACATCCCAATAATAAAATCACTGAAACTAAATCAATAAGCGGGACCCATAAAATACACAATTATACTTCTTGGCCGACTAAATTCAAACACTTCGTATTCTTATAAAAACAACTTAATGAAATTCTATTTAACATTTATTCAACAACCAAAATCGTTTTACTTTCATTTGAATTTTCCAATAAATTATTTCCCACTGTAAAAATGTAGGCTACAAGTTGTTGCAGAAAACTCATTTAGTTAAATAATATTTCACTGAGATTTCATTGAACTAAGAACAAAACCTTTAGATCCAAATAAAAACACAACCATTTCGCCCTGGCCGGTTTGGCTCAGCGGTTAGAGCGTCGGCCTGCGGTCCTGAGAGACCCGGGTTTGGTTCCCGCTAAGGGGGCATATCTCGGTTGCAGTTTTTCCCCAGCCCTGGTCAGTTGTGCGGGTGGCAGCCACTCGATGTGTCCCTTTCACATCGATGTTTTCCTCTCTCTCCCCCCCACTCTACCTGAACAAAAAATGGAAAAATGTCCTCGGGTGAGGATAAAAAAAAAGGAAAAAAAACCACAACCATTTCTGTTTCTCCCACGGTCAGTCTTCTAGCCTATGCTGCCTTCAACTTGCTTTTCCTTGACATAACATAGGCCTGAATTTAAAAGGCCATGTTTCAAAACACAATGACATTCGTATTGATTTCTACATGATCACAAATCCACAGACAAATATTCCATGAATAATCATTAAATTGGTTATAGACACGAAGAAGCTGCATAGGTTTGGCTAACTTTAGGCTCCAGGACAGAGCACTAAAGCCCTCTCTCTTCTTAGGTACATCCAAACAAAGAGAGAGGCCAGCCAGAGACAACAATTGGGTGGCAAACTGGGCTCTCCACACCCCCTTCAGCTGGTCAGGAAGGGGCTTCTCCTTTTCTGGACATTCAAAAAACAGACCCCGGGAAATAAGGCAGGACCAAGACAGAAGACCCCGTTCTAACTCTAGCCATGATGCACCATGTGAGATCTTGGGCAAGTGTCTTCCCCTCTCTGGGCTTCATTCTTCATCCCAAGCACATGAGAAGGTGACCCCAGAGCAGTGGTTTCCAACGTGCAGCTCTCCACTGGCAGCATCAGTTTCAGCTGCGAACCTGTCGGAAATGCCCATTCTCAGGCCCCACCCCGTCCTGCACAATCCGAAGCTCTGGGGTGGGCGTGGCGATCTGTTTTCACAAGCTCTCCAGCTGATTCTGACGCCACTCGAGTTTGAGAACCACTGGCTCAAAACACCACTTATCCCAAACCTTACATCAGCCCTGAGGCCTTGCTTCATGAGCTTTACCAATTCTCCAAGGTTTCTCAACTCTCATTCATTCTTTTAAAACCCATGTACATATGCACTTTCACTAGAAGACACAAAATACTTTATAGAAGAGCAGCGTAAAACAGAGTGGGTGAGAAACAAAGAACAAGGATGATAAGGAGAGACACTGTCCATGTAGACTGGGCATGTTGGCCCCACAATCACAGTGGGTCAACTTTCAATGGGTCATGGTCTCCTCGGAATCTTCCCAGTCAATGAAGCGCGTCAGCCTTCTGGGATCAGGTAACACAATTCGCAAATGTATCAGTGTGGACCCAGACAGGTGAGTGACAGGCGGTGATATAACAAATTAATGTGTTTGTGAGAGTTTATTCCCTTAATCTTTGTAATAGATTTAAAATTTGTATGCATATATCATGAAATCAGTCAGATACTGAGTGTGTATAAATATTATGCATGTCTGAATATCTACATTATCAAAAAAGCCATGCATTTTGATTATGCAATTACTTAAACACACAGAAATTGTTTCTTCAGAATGTCTAAGCATTCTGAGAATCCAGAAATGTCCATGAAATGTACACATGATCAAAAGATAGGAACAAACTAATTTCACAATAACCAAGACAGATAATATTGGAGAAAAAAAAAGTGAAGAATTGGAAATGTACAAAAACACAAAAGCAGTTTATACCAACAAATAAGAGAACGAGATGGAAATGACAGGCAAATAGAAATTATGAAAGAGCATAGCATAAAATGCATTTCATATACGGCATTTATATTTGTACGTATGTATGTATATGTGTAGCATACATACCATATAACACGTTCAAATATAATATGAAATGTATCTCAACCACAAGTACTGAAATGCAAGACGTGGGGTACAAGAAGGTAAGACACTGGAAACTCTTTGATACCATTGTACTACTCACTCAGATTAGCCAGAGTGCTGCTCCCTGGGAAAATCAGTGAGCATGTGAGGATCTGAACCCTGCTGGCTAGTTTTCACGTTCATTCTCAAGTTTAAGTTGCTACATGCCTTTTTAACTTAAATTTTCTCACACACTGCTTATTCCCACATAGGTATTTCCCATCACGCTCACTGCAAAGCTTAGGAAATAAGATTCAGAAAAAGATAGTCAACTGGCAGCTAGGCATATAGTTGTCCCATGTGAAACAAATAAGTACTTGGGACCAGAGCCCTTTGGAAGGATATACGCCCTTCCTGCAATCGGCCACAGGTTGTCCCAGCTGCTCTCTGCGGCCGTGGGAGACGGCTTCCACTTCCTGGGGGTTCAGGAGAAAGCGCCCAGGAATAGGCTCAGCTGTTATGCACAGCGGTAGTGACAAGCAGTAGTACATCAAGAGTTATGTACCTTTTGAAAAGAACAAAGGATAGTTGACCTTTCCTCTGAAATATTCATATAAAGACAAACAAGTTCAAAAAATAGTATCTAAAAAGAAAGTCATGTGCCATAAATTTGCCTAAAACAGAGTCCTGGGTACAGAGGTCCCTACAGTGAATAAAATAAAAAATAAATTGAATTATTATTTTAAAAAATCAAGACACCCTGGCCAGCTGGCTCAGTTGGTTCAAGTGCCACCCCCACATGTCAAGGTTGCAGGTGTAATCCCTGGTCAGAACACATACAAGAATCAACCAATGAATGAATAAATCAGCGGAACAACAAATTTTCTCTCTCTCTCAAATCAATAAAAAAAATTTTTTAATCAAGAAAACTCAACTTTCAACTCTGATGCTCGCTAGTAAGAAACAGTCTATAATGTCTCTTTCTTGCACAAATGTCTCTATCATCTAATTCAAATTAAGTATGTTTTTAAAATAAAAAAAAAAGTATGTTCTCACCTGTAGGTAGGAAAAATCAATTTAAATGTGCTAACATTTTAGTTATTATATAAAAAGCTGCCACTGAGCCTGAGGAAAACTGTTACTTTATTGTATCTATTAGAAAGGCAGTGTGCTTTTAGTAACAGGTTAATTTTCTCTTATATGAATCCCCTTTTGGATCTGCAGATGGGATTACGGAACTATGACTGTGGTTTTTAATTACAACTGAACCCTGGAAATAAAAATGGTTTTGAATCCCTGGCAGGTTTGGCTCAGCGGTTAGAGCGTCAGCCTGAGGTCTCCAGAGACCCGAGTTCGGTTCCCGCTAAGGGCATGTACCTTGGTTGCAGTTTGTCCCCAGCCCTGGTTGGTCATGCGAGTGGCAGCCACTCGATGTGTCCCTTTCACGTCGATGTTTCTCTCTCTCCCTCCCACTCTATCTGAACAAAAAATGGAAAAATGTCCTTGGGTGAGGATTAAAAAAAAAATGGCTTTGAAGACTAGTATTCAAAACTGAGCTTTGAGGGAAGGAAAAACAGAAGTTTTGTCCAAAGGTTCCCACTACCCCCTTTAGTGCCAAAGTCTCTCCTCTCTTTTTAATGCTGAAACATTTCTTTGCTCAGTAAAAATGATAATATACTGGAATATCCATCCTGGAATTGAAGCAAAGCACCTAAACCCAAAACGTCGTCATTCATGAGTTGATGTACATTTCATTGACTTTCATGTTTCTAAATCACTCTTCCCTTTTAGTGAAACAAATACAAACAAAAGCTACAATAACATACGCTAGAAGTCATGGACCACAGGTAGTATTTACAGCTTTGAGGAAGGCAAAACCGCCGGAAGAGCAGGGGTGTTAAAGCATTTCACTTACAATCACATCCTATTTCCTGTTTCAAGAGCTCCTGTTACCCCTACAACACTACAGAATGCAGCTCACCCCTCCCTCCCCAAAACACTTAAATCAAGACAAGGGTTGAAGACATGGTAGAGGTCAAACTTTCTGTCATGGTCCAGCAGGGGGAAATAGGACACCAAGTCAAAGTAAAAATTGGATCAGAAGAAGAAAATGATT